GCCTCCGTCGCCTTCGCCTCCGTCGCCTTCGCCTCCGTCGCCTTCGCCTCCGTCGCCTTCGCCTCCGTCGCCTTCGCCTCCCTCTCCCTCGCCTCCATCTCCCTCGCCTCCATCTCCCCCGCCTCCATCTCCCTCGCCCTCATCTCCCTCGCCTCCCTCTCCCTCGCCTCCATCTCCCTCGCCTCCATCTCCCTCGCCTCCATCTCCCTCGCCTCCATCTCCCTCGCCTCCTTCCCCCTCGCCTCCTTCCCCCTCGCCTCCCTCTCCCTTGCCACCGTCGCCTACCCCTCCCTCTCCTTCGCCTCCCTCTCCTTCGCCTCCATCTCCCTCGCCTCCATCTCCCTCGCCTCCGTCGCCTTCGCCTCCATCTCCCTCGCCTCCGTCGCCCTCCCCTCCTTCGCCCTCTCCTCCTTCCCCCTCGCCTCCATCTCCCTCGCCTCCGTCGCCCTCCCCTCCTTCGCCCTCTCCTCCTTCCCCCTCGCCTCCTTCCCCCTCGCCTCCATCTCCCTCGCCTCCATCTCCCTCGCCTCCTTCCCCCTCGCCTCCTTCCCCCTCGCCTCCTTCCCCCTCGCCTCCGTCGCCCTCGCCTCCGTCGCCTTCCCCTCCTTCGCCCTCGCCTCCGTCTCCCCCTGATGTCCCTCCATGTAGCACATGCTTCGACTTAGAAGTGGAGGTATCCAGCGCCCCGTTCAGCTTCTTCACAATCGACAGCGACAAATGCCAGGCTGTTCAGGCTCAGATCGCATCCGACTTCGTCAGCCAGATAGCATTCATGGGCCTTCCGCCCATGGTAGTCAACTTTACAGTGGATCCTACCCGCTGCCAGCCTACCAAAGTCAGCGTCTGCGGTTCGTTCGTTTCCGAGGAGGAAGCCAGGAAGCTGGAGCCCTGGGCCGCCCTCCAGAGCCCGTTATGGTTGGACAGCCTGGTCGGCCAGTGCAATGCAGTGAACTCTGGGCTCAGCTTCCTCTTGCGGAGTGAGACGGATGACTGCCTGAAAGTGATTACGGAAAAAACGGACTGCAAGGACACCGTGAATGTCACCTTCCCGCCTTGCAAGTACGTATGCCGTATACGTACACAGGACTTCTCAGAAACCATGGCATGCACTGCTCGGAGTGAGCGACGCTATACTGTACCCTGACTGCCTTGGAGTTTGACAGGCATTCTGTTATTGGATTAAAAGATTTATGTCTTCTCTTCGCGCACAGGTGCGATAACCGGAAGTACGCTACGCCCTTCTACGTGGTTCCCACACCGGCGACACAAGAGCCAGGTCGCGACCCGTGGACCAACTTGTACTGCTTCAAGACGAAGGTCGCCCCCAAGGAATCTGTTATCGCGGTGAGGTCTGAGGCCTTAACCCCCCGGGCCCCTGCGTTACCGTGGCCCGGGGGTTGTGGGTTTCCGTGTCCTTTCTTAAGCACCTTCCGCGCATTAGCAAGCGATTTATGCTGCATCGGTGTACTCCTTCCTCTGCCACAAGCCGCGTGCCGTGTATGCTTGTAGGGCCCATGCAACAGCAGCTCGACTCTCCATAAGGCAGAGATTTGGGCCGGTAAGTAGTTTGAAGCCGCGTGGGCTTTGGCGGGTGCGGGGAGCCGGGTGGCTGTCACGTCAGGTCTTAGCCTAGCACTGTCTATGCCCCTTTACGGACAGTGCTACATGCACGACATTAGTCGGCCGCTGGACGTCTAAGCAACAGCGGGTGGCATGCGAGTCAATCCACCCATACATACTGTTGAGTGTGTCGTATCTCCCTTGCCTTGCTTGCAGATATGTCTCTTCGGCGCCAAGTCCGCGGCTTCCGGCTGACTCCTTCCGGCGGCACTCCCCGTTGGGCATCCACATCGTGGGGGCCTTCGGGGGCCAACCAGCTCAAAGGTGACTGAGCGTGTGTCTAGGCTTACATACAGGCGCGTGTGGCATTCGCGGATGATGTGCGCGTAGTAGTAATTGCATAGAGTGCACATTGGGAATGTGCATTTGAGGGCTCGTTAGGCGACGACGTAACAGAACTGACATCGTGGCCCCAAACCCCACCACCTTTGAACGTCGTGCATGCAGCGACAAACATCAACTGGAGCTCGTCTGCGGCGCAAGGC